TGTGACTTCATGAAAACCGTGTTACTTCAGTAACACGTGTGTACTTCATGAAATACCGTGTGTTCTTCATGAAACACGTGTTATTCAGAAACCCGTGTGACTTCATGAAATACCGTGTGTACTTCATGAAACACCGTGTGTACTTCATGAAACACCGTGTGACTTCATGAAACACCGTGTGTACTTCATGAACACCGTGTGTACTTCATGAACCCGTGTGTACTTCATGAAACACCGTGTGTACTTCGTGAACACCGTGTACTTCATGAAAACCGTGTGTACTTCATGAAACACCGTGTGTACTTCGTGAAACACGTGTGTACTTCGTGAAACACCGTGTGTACTTCGTGAAACACCGTGTGTACTTCATGAAACACGTGTTAGTTCATGAAACACCGTGGTACTTCGAAATACCGTGTGTATTCTGAACACCGGTGTACTTCATGAAACACCTGTGACTCATGAAATACCGTGTTACTTCATGTAACACGGTGTACTTCATGAAACACCTGTGACTTCATGAACACCGTGTGTACTTCATGAAACACTGTGTACTTCATGAAATACGTGTGTACTTCATGAAAACCGTGTGTACTTCAGAAACACCGTGTGTACTTCATGAAACCCGTGTGTACTTCATGAATACCGTGTGTACTCATGAAACACTGTGTACTTCTGAACCCGTGGTACTTCATGAAACACCGTGTGTACTTCATGAAACACGTGTGTACTTCATGAAAACCGTGTGTACTTATGAACCGTGTGTATTCATGAAGCACCGTGTGACTTCATGAAATACGTGTGTACTTCAGAAACACCGGTGTACTTCATGAAACACCGTGTGTACTTCATGAACACCGGTGTACTTCATGAAATACCGTGTGTACTTCATGAAACACCGGTGTACTACATGAAAACCGTGTGTATTCATGAAACACCGTGGTACTTCAAAACACCGTGTGTACTTCATGAAACACGTGTACTTCATGAAACACCGTGTGTACTTCATGAAATACCGTGTGTACTTCATGAAACACCGTGTGTACTTCAGAAACACCGTGTGTACTTCATAACACCGTGTGTACTAGAAACACCGTGGTACTCATGAACACCGTGTACTCAGAAACACCGGTGTACTTCATGAACACGTGTGTATTCATGAAACACCGTGTGTACTTCTGAAACCCGTGGTACTTCATGAAACACCGTGTGTACTTCATGAAACACCGTGTGTCTCGTGAAACACCGTGTGTACTTCGTGAACACGTGTTACTTCGTGAAACACCGTGTGTACTTCGTGAAACACCGTTGTACTTCGTGAAACACCGTGTGTACTTCATGAACACGTGTGTACTTCATGAACACCGTGTGTATCAGAAACACCGTGTTACTTCATAACACCGGTGTATTCGTGAACACCGTGTGTATTCATGACACCTATGTACTTCTGAAACACCGATGACTTCATGAAACACCGGTGTACTCATGAAACACGTTGTACCGTGAACACCGGTGACTCGTGAAACCGTGTGTACTCGTGAAACACGTGTGTACTTCGTGAACGTTGCTTCAAACACGTTGTACTTCATGAACCGTGTGTACTCGTGAAACACCGTGGATCGAAACACGTGTACTTCGTGAACACCGTGGACTTCGTAAACACCGGTGTACTTCATGAATATGGCACCCCAAGCGAGTATACCGAGTATACGGAATCCTGAAGGTTTTGGATCACCGTGGCTGATCTTGACCGCTTCGCTGTCAGTGACAACAGCTGTACGTGGCACCGTGACGAAGTTGAACCACAGCCACAGGATGTTACAGGGTAGACTTTAGGTTCTGGTGCAGGTGACCATTAACGTGTCGACGTGACGTAAGAAGTGAAGGCTCCAGAGCATGATCGTTCAACATATCCAATAGATAACTGGCAAATCAATGTTTAGTAAGGAGGGAGGGAAAGTTGGTTATGATGAGGGGAGGAAAGTTTGGTAGTAAGGGGAGGAAGGTCTGGTAGTAAGGGAGGGAAGGTCTGGTAGTAAGGGAGGGAAGGTCTGGTAGTAAGGGAGGGAAGGTCTGGTAGTAAGGGAGGGAAGGTCTGGTAGTAATGGAGGGAAGGTCTGGTAGTAAGGGAGGGAAGGTCTGGTAGTAATGGAGGGAAGGTCTGGTAGTAATGGAGGGAAGGTCTGGTAGTAAGGGAGGGAAGGTCTGGTAGTAAGGGAGGGAAGGTCTGGTAGTAAGGGAGGGAAGGTCTGGTAGTAAGGGAGGGAAGGTCTGGTAGTAATGGAGGGAAGGTCTGGTAGTAAGGGAGGGAAGGTCTGGTAGTAAGGGAGGGAAGGTCTGGTAGTAAGGGAGGGAAGGTCTGGTAGTAAGGGAGGGAAGGTCTGGTAGTAAGGGAGGGAAGGTCTGGTAGTAAGGGAGGGAAGGTCTGGTAGTAAGGGAGGGAAGGTCTGGTAGTAAGGGAGGGAAGGTCTGGTAGTAAGGGAGGGAAGGTCTGGTAGTAAGGGAGGGAAGGTCTGGTAGTAAGGGAGGGAAGGTCTGGTAGTAAGGGAGGGAAGGTCTGGTAGTAATGGAGGGAAGGTCTGGTAGTAAGGGAGGGAAGGTCTGGTAGTAAGGGAGGGAAGGTCTGGTAGTAATGGAGGGAAGGTCTGGTAGTAAGGGAGGGAAGGTCTGGTAGTAATGGAGGGAAGGTCTGGTAGTAAGGGAGGGAAGGTCTGGTAGTAAGGGAGGAAGGTCTGGTAGTAATGGAGGGAAGGTCTGGTAGTAAGGGAGGGAAGGTCTGGTAGTAATGGAGGGAAGGTCTGGTAGTAAGGGAGGGAAGGTCTGGTAGTAAGGGAGGGAAGGTCTGGTAGTAAGGGAGGGAAGGTCTGGTAGTAAGGGAGGGAAGGTCTGGTAGTAAGGGAGGGAAGGTCTGGTAGTAAGGGAGGGAAGGTCTGGTAGTAAGGGAGGGAAGGTCTGGTAGTAAGGGAGGGAAGTTCTGGTAGTAAGGGAGGGAAGGTCTGGTAGTAAGGGAGGGAAGGTCTGGTAGTAAGGGAGGGAAGGAAGGTCTGGTCTTGGCTAGGTCGTCATGGCACTAAGGGGAAACTGACACTGTGGTATTTACGACACCATAAAGATGGTAGCATCTCCAAGCAACCCTTAGTGCTTCCTGCCTGGGTTGTTATGCTACTTGATGGTACCGCTTGTATGGTACTTACCTCTGGCATACTGGGTATATTGGCCTATACCCCCCATACTATACGCTGTCTTGGTACTTACCTCTGGCATACTGGGTATATTGGCCTATACCCCCCATACCATACACTGTCTTGGTACTTACCTCTGGTATACTGGGTATATTGGCCTATACCCCCATACCATACACTGTCTTGGTACTTACCTCTGGTATACTGGGTATATTGGCCTATACCCCCCATACTATACGCTGTCTTGGTACTTACCTCTGGTATACCGGGTATATTGGCCTATACCCCCCATACCATACACTGTCTTGGTACTTACCTCTGGCATACTGGGTATATTGGCCTATACCCCCATACTATACACTGTCTTTGTACTTACCTCTGGTATACTGGGTATATTGGCCTATACCCCCCATACTATACGCTGTCTTGGTACTTACCTCTGGTATACTGGGTATATTGGCCTATACCCCCCCATACCATACACTGTCTTGAAAGTTAAGACACATGTGCAACATCTGGATATCTTTATTGTAGACGTTTCGCCATCCAGTGGCTTTATCAATACAGATTCTAGGACATATTGTCGGTATTTTATACCTTTCTTGCACAACTTGTCAGACACTGCAACATCATGGAATCTTGGTTCAGAGGACATCTACAACACCTTCTTCACGGCTGCTGCAACTAACCCATCTCTTTGGGAAGGACTTACTTCCACTGGGGAATCCCGCCTACCAGTGACTGCCCTCGTCTGCTGCCCGTCCCTTCCACTGACGCCTATAAAAACGCCAGTCTTCTTGCCTTTGCTCCAGACTCTCCTCCACCACGATGCTGTGAACACTAACTCCAAGGCCGAGGGACTGATTACCTCATCTTTTGTATATAGTTCTACTGTCTTCCTATTATGTCCTAGAATCTGTATTGATAAAGCCACTGGATGGCGAAACGTCTACAATAAAGATATCCAGATGTTGCACATGTGTCTTAACTTTCATATTGTCGGTATTTTATACCTTTCTTGCACATACACTGTCTTGGTACTTACCTCTGGTATACTGGGTATATTGGCCTATACCCCCATACTATACACTGTCTTGGTACTTACCTCTGGTATACTGGGTATATTGGCCTATACCTGATCCATCGGGAGGCCTGGTCATGGACCGGGCCGCGGGGGCGTTGATCCCCGGAATAACCTCCTCCAGGTAATACCCCCCATACTATACACTGTCTTGGTACTTACCTCTGGTATACTGGGTATATTGGCCTATACCCCCCATACCATACACTGTCTTGGTACTTACCTCTGGTATACTGGGTATATTGGCCTATACCTCCCATACTATACACTGTCTTAGTACTTACCTCTGGTATACTGGGTATATTGGCCTATACCCCCCATACTATACACTGTCTTGGTACTTACCTCTGGTATACTGGGTATATTGGCCTATACCCCCATACCATACACTGTCTTGGTACTTACCTCTTGTATACTGGGTATATTGCCATATCCCCTCCTACCATCAGTCTTGGTACTTACCTCTCCTATACCGAGTATACTGCCATATACCCCCATACCATACACCGTCTTGGACTTCCTGTGTATGTCTCTCAGTGTATACATAATTATAGTGTATTTTAGATATTAAATTATTCTTGACTGGTGGTTACCAAGTGGCATGCAGCTTCGTGCAGTAGATAGGCTTTAAACCCATTAATCAACACTTAACGACCTTCGTGTAGCAAGTAGACCTATTACTAGTTGTAAGGAGCCATTAGATTCATTTGTTTGAGTCTCCTTATAGGGTAGCTTACCTCCGGGACTAGTTCTGTTGCGAACTTCTAGACTTTGTCTAGTTTGTTGTCAAGTTGATGCGGGCCACCTCAGGGGCCTTGCTGGTGAGGACCACTTCGTGGATCCAGATGGAGGGGACCACCTCAGGGGACCAGCTGCTGGAGACCACCGCAGGGGCCCCCACCAGTA